AATGACCAACTTTAAATACTCTTTGACTCTTTTGCTGACTGATAATAATTGGACAATTTATTTACTTTAGATAAGCTGTGAAAAATGCAAATAATATTTTGAATAAAAATGGGGATTCCCAAAGAGCTGGTAGTGGAAAACCTGAACTTTTCTCATCTTGGTGTACAGTATTCTTCAATAATGTAGGAAACGGAATAATTGGACAGCAAACTAAATCAAAAGCCTGAAATTGTAGTTATTGGATATAATCACTTTCTGAAGGTGATGTCACTAGGAAATGGGGGAAAAAATCTGAGGAAGTCCTGAGACATTTATTGTTCTCTGGAGCTGTATTAAAGGGGTCTCTATGGAAAGGTGACTGTCAAAACACCATTCCTCAGAAAGGGAAGCAGTGAGAAAAAGCTTTGCCAAATTACACAAAATCCGGACTGAAAATGGAACTTAGACATTAATCCTTTCCAGCTCTGACGCCTCTCCAGAGCCCTGAACTCGACAATGTTCAGGCAGTTTTGGATCAAATTCACATAGCACTGAAAAAAGGCAGGCAGAAAAGAAGAACTTTGGAATATCTATATGGGAGCCTGGAAAACTATTCTTGAAGACGCCTTAAAGGAACAATAAGAAGGTTTTTCTGAGAAGTTTGAAGAAGAAATGCAGACACTTACTGACCCTTATGCAGATTTAATTGGCACAAACTCTGTTATGCTTTACACAATCTAAAGCGGTAATATTTTTAATTTAGGTTTTAATTAATTATTTTTGGATTTCCTGTTAGAAATAAGGAGTGATTGTAGATTTTTCTTCACTTTTTTTATAGTACGGTACGTCTTTCAGGTGCAATTTGTTGACGAGGAAGAAATACTTACAATGATTGACTTAATTTAGTGGACAAAGCCATACCACACAAGCAAAGATAGGGAAATTAAACTAACCCTAAATGCTAACAAGAAAATATTCAATATTAAGTATTTTGATTTATATTTCCATGATTATTACATAATTACATACATTGTAAACCTTATAGGCAATAGCATGATGTGACAAAGTCAAGCAAGTATAAAAAAGTTTACATTAAAGAAAGGCTAGAATCTGATTATTTTTACATCACAACAACTTACAAAACCCGCAATTACTGGCACATGATTCACGGCTGTGGGGTTAGTCATCTGGGGTTCTTTTATGCAAAACAAGAGACTTTCTCTTGGCTTCTCTTGACAGCAGGACACGTGTATGGACTTGATCATAAATACACAATAAACCAGCCTCCACTCTCCGTGATCACTCTGAAACATTTTAAAATACAAATTCCATTAAGGACACCAATGACACGCTATTTTTCTTCATCGATGTGACAGTTTTCTAACAGAGAGATACCAATACTGAGGTGGTGTATCATGCTGTTGGATTTCACACACTGGTTTCAGACATAGGGCAGTTTCCCGGTTCTGCTGTGGAACCTGGCCTACAGAACAGCCCGGTCTGTTTGGTTGGGATTGAGCTATTTCCCCGTCCTCCACCGGTGTATCGTTACGTTTATGATTGATGGTGAGGTATTGGAGAGCAGATCCTCGGTCCCGGACTCCATGTTTCCTGGGGATGGGTGCTCTGTCCCGGCCAAAGGGGGCCACGGTCACCCTAACCCTAACCCTAAACCTTTAATGGAACAGGAGCACCTCATGTGCTCTTGTTGCTTTTTTTTTAAAATTTCCTGGTGGAAAATGTTACTTAACTTAGGTCACAGAAACAAATACATGATGTAACAACAGGAACATCATCATTATATATAAGAAAAAATACTTCCATTTTTAATCCCCCTTTTGGAACCGTTTGCAGAGGCTGGAAAATAGATCTTGTGTTCATGTTAACAATAAAGCCTAACTGTGCAGGGTTTCTTTATTAGCTCTCTTGTATTTTACCATCTACCTTTTTGCTTAGCTTTGCAAGTGTTAAAAGTTCAAACGTGTCCCGCGATCTCTCTCACAATGAGTGGGATTTCTGCCCTGAACAAACATGGTGTGCACTTCCCCATGTAAACAAACAACACACACCTACACGCACACACATATCTGCCGTGGTATGCGACTGCCTTCCCACACGAAAAGCCGTCTCTAAAACGCACTCCCATCCTCCCAGACAGCATCTGTTTGTGTGAATCATGTACATATCATGCCAAAAAGCCATTAGATAAACACACGCCAGCCAGTCAGGATAAGGCTGGAGGGGGGGTGACCTCCCTCCAAGTCTTAGCCTTTTAATGAGTCAGCAGCTATTAAAAGGCATCAATCACAGGAAACGGGGTTATTTGTAACATTTCTGTAAATAAAGTTGACTTGTTAGTCATTTCTCTAACCACGGTTGGTCGTGAAATCTTTGCACCTGACAGCTGAAGTTTGTGTTGAGTGTACAACTCTTTGCACACGAGGAATTTGTTTTTTTCAAGACAGGTGTGATTGAAATGAATTTACGAGGTGAAGATAAAAGCTGGTTTATTGTTCCGTTTCTGTGTTCTTGTGTTTTCTTTTCATTGCGGGTTCTTTGTTGCACATTGTTTAAGTAAGCATAAAAGCAAAACCAATATATTCATGTCCAACTAATGTTTATAATCCCTCAACCATCCATTTTCTACACTGCTTATTCTAAGGAGGGTCCCTGGGGCCTGAAGCTTATGGCAGCTGTCACTGAGCCAGAGGTGGGGTACACACCTGTACAGGTGGCCCTCCCACCACCAGCCCACACAGCATCTAATGACACCCACCCATTAATTCTCCCCTCATGAGTCATGTTCTCTCATGGACAGAGCGTGCAAACTCCAAATTCCACACAAAACGGAACCACAGCCCAGGATTCAAACCTGGAAGCCTCTAGCTGGGAAATAACAATGCTTATTTATAATCAGGATGGTAGAAATACACATGCAAAACACACACATTAAACAGTAAAACATTGAAGTTTTGTACTAAAAATAAAATAAAAGAAGAAAACTAAAATCTAGATAAGGAGGACTGAAAACAAACAAAATTGTGAATGCAAGTAAAACAAGGGTGTGTGAGACAATGATGAACTCCATTATTGTTTCTACTGATTGGATTACAGATTTACTCTAATAATTTACCTGTAAGCAAAAAAGCTCAGTGAATAAGAGAGTTATATTTACACCAGTATGGAAAAAACGTATGTAAACGCTAGCAAATGGATAATATTTAGAAGTAGACTTTAATAAAAATGACTGATATCTAATATCATGTTTTACTTACAGATGAAGATTAGTTGTGAAAATCATAAACTAATGAACTGAAAAGCAAAAAGAAGTGAAGTCCATTGAACAGAAGGCAAGATAGTGAAAGCTTAGCAAAATAAAACAGATGGATAATTAATGTGACATACTAGATGGAAAAATGAATTGATAGCAATGATAATACATTTTCCAACACACCAAAGAACTAGTAAACCTAAAAAAACACACCAAGAGAGAACCACTGGACATTTGCTGATGGCTATTGTGAAGAACAATGATGATTTCACTGTTACTGAACTATATTGCATGTACTTTGTACACAAACAAAGCTTAATTTCCCGGGAGGTTTTTTTCTCTCAGCTTTGGCACTACATCAAAAAGAGAAGACCTGGTATACTGTGAGCGTTCTGAGGACCCTTGGGTACTTTTCTCTGCATGACTGGATCTATATAATTCACATGGCATTGTTAAATACTGGTATCGGAGCTGTATTCTCTGATATGAACTGTTATGTGTTTGCCCACTTTAATTGCCTTGGAACCTATCTGCACAACTGAATGAAGAAATACAATGATATAATGTTCTTGTCTGTGTAATCATAAGCAACTGAATAACTGTTCTTATATAGCTTTTGAAATTTGCTTAGATTAAATTAGAAGGATGAGGATGCTGAAGACGCATCAGGTTCATACAGTTTATTCTAAGGGGAAATGTTAACCTATGTGCTGAGTTAACCATATGTTCCTCCCAATGTTAGCAGGAACAAAATTATGGCTTGGTGAGCCTTTTCATTTGAATTCCGAAATATTTTGGCATCACTCAGCTCTTTAATTCTAGAGAAAGTGAAACAAATTCAACATTATGACTTGGACATCCCTGGCATAGAGCCCTTTTTTATGATGTTCCATAACTTTATATTCAATGGATATATTCAATGTTCACCAGCAATCATTTTCATTTTTCTCACTGAGTTAGTTGTTTAAAATTCTCAGTTTGAAAATCCCTGCGTTATGGAGACACCTAAGTTGCTCAGAGCTATGTATAAAAAGTCCTACATTCTTCAATATGCTGATACACTGCAGTCTGTTCTCCTAGAACACTTGGATTGGTGTGATTCATGAAGATTCACGATGTTTTCAGAGGCCTTTTTTCTCCAAGCTCAGCAACATTTCATGGTGGCAAAACCTCAAGAGTACAAGTTGACAGAGTATTCCTCACAGTGACTAATCAAGTCATTTTACTAAGAAAGTCCAAATAGCTCAGATATCTATCACATCCTGAACCGACACCAGACAGGATCTGACTCAGCAGAAATGAAACAAAAAAGTGAGTTGGCAGGTAGTGGTGATTGAACTATAGCTTCAGGTCAAGACACTTTCTGGCTCATCTGCTGACAGGCACTGAATTTATTGTAAGTAACTAAGAACTGTTAGTATCTTGAAATCAAAAGTAAAATTTAAGATATTTCATTTTTGTGGGAATGGAAGACTGGATGCAAACTATGGAGTAAGAGTACTCTTAAATAATTCAAATCTATGGTGAATCAAAATCCTTAAGAGGTGCTGATGAAGCAACGTGGTAAGGAAAGTAAAAGGGGACATATGCTGACCACTTCCAGTCATTTCATTCTTAGTCTTGTGCACCTTTAGATTATATTTTCAAACTTCGCAGCTCCCAACAGTTTGCAGAACTGGGAGATATGTGAGAGCTTTATCCTTAGAGACTAAATATGAGTAAGAAAGATGCCTATGCTACGGTTTCAAGCATGAAAACACATACGGTCAACCACATGTCTAAGAGCCACGGTCAAATACTGGACAAGCACGACTATAACTGTAAACACAAACTTTATAGTGACACATGGTTTGGTAATATGATGGAACCAGCAAATATGCCATTTGTTGTGAAAGTAACTCCAACACAAGCAAGAAATTGGAAAAGCATGGTTATCTTGTGTATGGTTTAAAACAAGTAACACAACATATAAAGAGCCCCCTTGGCTGCCATTTCACTTGCCAAGCACATTTAATCTTAATTTAATCAATAAAACGGAATAGTAATCAGGATCGTAATGTGTTTTTTTTGCAAAAATAGCATGACTCAAGCAAATTGAGACTAGCTACTTCACAGTTAAGAACCCTGATAAGTTCTCAAGTGGTATTAAATCTCCAAAAAGAGATGTTGACATAATCTAAGGCTGTTTGTCAGGTACGTGGATAGTTTTAATCGAGAAGTGTACAGAAAGCTGTTTTAATGTTTGATGCCATCGATCTGTAGTGCATTAGCTATGACATGAGGAGTTGAATTTATGGAGAGCAATACAAACCAACCCCAGAATGGCCCGTACAAAGAGCAGTGGGTAATTGTAATATCACAATCATGGTTAATCGCCATATCTGCAGAATGCAACGAGTGAATGCTGAAGACACTTCATACATCACAGCAACACTGTAGCAACACTGAAGACTTTATAAAAAAAACAAAAAAACAGCCATAACAGAAAGAATCAAGCTCTTAACAGGAGTTGCATAATTCTACAAAACCTTTCAGTTTTGCCCTTAGCGTTTCCTCCTTCTTCTACAGTTCTTTCACAACAATAATGGCTTTTGTTAAATAAAAGGGTAGTATTCCTCAACTCTAATTCTCAGGGCTTTGCTGCTTCTACATATTTTCATCAACAGGCATGTTCAGATCTTGACGACATAACCTGTGGAGAGCCATTTTGTTTCATTCATTCATTTATTTCCTTTAAAATACTTTTATTTGCGCACTTATGTGTATAAAGTCTAGTGGCTACCCACTAAAGCAGTCCTTGGCTCAGCTCTTCACTTGGAGTCTAATTTATGTTATTCAATTATCCACCTAGCTCTGCAAATATTTTAACAGTAAAATGATTTTTGTCATTTCAGATATTTCCAAAAAACAAGCTCAGGTTATGATTAGAAAAAATAATGAACACTTACATTTTCAATAATCATCTAAAATTTCTGAATATTCTTTTCCAAATTACAGGAGGAGTTTTTCGGATGAGCTTACAAAAGGCAGTCTATATTTCTGGAGTTATTTTATTCCTTAATGTACCAGATACACTGGCTATTCTTAGTGTTCCTTAGTGTTTGTTCAGTTTATGTAGTAACAGTATCCGTTTCACATGCTTTGAGAAGCACTTGGACCAGACGTTGGAGGTCAGCAGCAGCTTCCATGTGCAAACAACACCTGGAATCAACTAAAGACCTTTGACCTGTTTATTGGGAGAAGAAACAACACTGGAAAAGCCCTCAGCCAATCAAAATAAAAGCACTGTTGAATTGCCTTTGCCATGAGAGAGATTTACAGATGAAATAACCGTAAATGTTTTCATTATCTTTACTTTCTGATATGAAATACTCATGTGTGAGGCTAAGCTAAGCAACACCAAACACAATATGCACATTGTTGATTTAAAAAAAAGATTTACTGAGCAATAGGGGTATATAAAATGTATGCATGGATAAATTGAATGTAATTCATAGTTCAAAGCAAAGGGTGAAGTTAATATGTTTCTTGCGATTCTTTGATTCAGATTTCTTAAATCTTAACAATCTAAGAATAAAATGTAGTCCAATGTTGAAGTTAGATCAAATTAAAGGCAGACAGATGACTTTTCATAACTTTTCATTATGAAATGTGTGTATCGTCTCCATCTGCTGATTCTAAAATTCAGACACAGTGAATCTGTGAGGGAAAACCTCATCCCCGAGCAGTCAGCGGTGGACAGATTTGTTTTGAAAATCTCGTGAGGAAGTGTGTTTGAGGTTAGCGCTGGCTTGTGACAACATGAAGAGCTCTTATTAAAGCGGAGTCTGGTTTGGGGCAGCAAACGCAGAGTGGCAGCAGAGCGGCTGCAGACGGATCCTGTCGCCTGGCCTGGAGGATGTTTGATCAAATCCCAAACTATCTGCTTCTCTGGACCTCTCAACTTTTGGAATTTGTTCCCTACTTTTTTCTTTTCTAAAATTGGTTTCTAATCTTTCATACGTAATGGCATCATTAGTGGATGTGGGAGTTTTGGTTCTCATTGTGATGGGAGCATCTTTAGCCAATGGTGAGTAATGGATGTCCTTTGATATTGCTCATTGTTGACAACAATTTTTTTCTAAATTTCCCATTTTTGGCTTTAGCGAAAATTCTAACTAATTGTTTCTGATAATTACATTTTTTTCCGAATAGAACAAAGTTGTAGAAATTGAAGTAGAAATATATTTCTTCATATTAGTTATCATAAAAGTGTTTTTCTAGTAGTAGAACTATACTTCAACATGGTAAATGTAACAGTTCACAGAGTTTGGTTTTTATAAACCATTCCATTTGCAAAAACAATCTATTGTAATCATTCATTCTGCTGAATGATTAACATAATGCAGTATTTGTATAAAAGTGTATCCAGATACAAAGTCTCTACAGGTTTAGGTTCAGAAATATTTTTTACACAAGAGATATTTGTTGATGTTTGGCATTTCTGTCCATAAATATATGGCACACACACATCTTAAAGGGTAAAGTCCTAGGTTAATATGAATCCCATAAGTCATTATAGCAATGTTTTAAGACTACCTCATTCATGCTGCATGATGCCTTTTGAGTAAACGACTCTGATCCTGCAGGTTCTTCATCTAATGAAGAATCGAGTCAGAAAAGAGAGGTGGGGTCAGACCTGCCCAGTGGAGGCCTGCCCCGCAGCAGGGACAGCTCTGCTGCCGTCTCTTCTCAGGAGGAGACCGAGTCCTGCTCGGGCTGTGACCCTCTGAGAGCCAGGAGGCGCAGGAAGAGGTGCACGTGTTACACTTACAAAGACAAGGAATGTGTGTACTACTGCCACCTGGACATCATCTGGATCAACACGCCAGAGTAAGATACCTTTTCCAGATGTGCTCAGTTCGTCTAATTTTCGTCTCATTTTTATGGCTATTTCTGAAAGCAGAAGACGTCACATCATTTATGTATTTCTAGTGATTTAATACGGCAGTTGAAACATTATCTGGCTATACGTTGCGATTTATCTGTCTCAAACAATGTAAGATTGACATCCTAGATTGATGCTTCTTGGTATCACGTTTCTCTGCTGCGTTTCATGTGTTACACTTTTATCCAAAGAGACTTAAAATGCAGATACAGTTAAAACCAAAGCTACAAAGAAGGTGCAAAGAAGGAAATCACTTGTCAGGCTCTGTTAGAGACAGAGGGAAATACAGAAAGAGAAAGCCGGTAGCGGGAGTGGGTAGGTACACCGTAAGAGTTCTGCTGGGTCTTCAAGAGTTTTTTTAAGACAGACAGGGAAGCTTCTGTTTTTGTAGCGTAGGTCATTCCACGGCCGTGGAACAGCACGTTAAAAGAGTCTGGGTAGTCTTAAGCCTGGTGTAGGAACTGCTAGTCAACAGTCCTCTGAGGACTGGAGTGACAGAGTAGAGACATTACCCTTTAACAGAGTTCTTAAGTAGATTGTAAGCACTTGGGAGGCTAACGTCAGTGGATTGAATTTGATGCGGGCATTGGAGTTCAATGAACAGAGGGGGGACATAGGATTACGTATGTGTTGTATTAAAAAGACGGACGCATATATTATTAATTTATTTATATGTATCTCGGTGTGTGTGTTTTCAGTATATATGTACTGTGGAGGACACTTTACAAACTTGAAAGATTCTTGGAAGCCCACAGCCTGAGCACTCATGTATTTTAAACCAACTCAATTCTGACATTTTAACAAAGTAGCCGTAGGATCTGAGATATATAGGGAACGTTTTCTGATTTACATGAGTTAAACTATTTTTTTTTAAAAGATAGCAGCATTGGTTTTAATCACCAACACCCTTAGGTGGATTTGACAAAGCAAGAACACTTTTCCTTAGTTCATAACAAAACAATACGTTCTGCTGAATAAGCCTCATTGTTTCCATTCCTGTTTTTTTCTTTTTAACATAAGCTTCATTGTCAGCAAGTGTGAACCCTCAAAGAATCGCAATACGGGATTCTGCATTAAACTTTTGAAGCGTTTTCAGACGGGAGGCACAGCATGCCACAGAAAATAAGGCCTTCCCTCCGATTGATACGCAGATTTGTCCACGATCTTTAGCTGAGCCTCAGGCGGTGGGGGTTTAATATGGCTCTCTGAGAATGTATAAACACGTTAGAAATATGCGTGTGAGAATGTCCGGAGCCGTGAGTGACAACGGTAGCGAGGAGGGTCAACACGTGGTCATCTTTCTGCAGGACGCTCTTTAATTATAAAGTACTGGACAGGAGGGATGCCACCCACTGCACAGCAGAAGATTCAGGCTGCCCGGGTCACCGTGCACAGCAAATAATCTGCAAAAGATATCTTCTAAACAAACGACACAGATTAAGCTCTCATTTCTGTGTTGTGTTTTGTGTGTGACCTATGAAAGGAATCAGTGTATCTTTTTTGGCATAAAGTGTTTTTTATCAATTTTCAACACAGGTTGAGAACAACGGCTTGTATTCAGATTGATAATGAGTACGTTTTTTGTTTCCAGGCGACCTGCATGTTAACAGATTTTAGTCCTTTTAGTCCTTTTAACTGTAGTGCAGCCATGTATGCGATCTACCTGTTCTTGTTCAGCTTTATTTAGGGCGAAATATAGATTCCTGATGGCATATTCAGATTTGCTAGGAGCAAAATAACATCTTACCAAAATATTTTGGCTAAACAAATGATTGACTTTTGTCCACAGACAATATTTGACTGTGGTTTTGGACGTGACAGCTGCAGATAATAATTGAGAGCACATATGAGAGCCTGCGAGAACCTGAGCATATTGGAATAAATGACCTGTGGTTTTGGGTCCCTGAAGAATAGCTCCTAAAGTATGTGCAGCTGTTAACAGTTATCTGACCTTCTGACTTTACTCCCCTTAGTTCTGAAATTTTCATCGTTCACACTTCAATTCGCTTTTTCGGCACTATATATCCTACTCTACATTATTTTAGGTGTTGTTGCTTGTGTTTTCTATATCCCTAGGTGCTTGTTTGCTTTTTAGTTACCGATATTAGACACATTTCAGCGGTTGTTACGAAAAAAAGATTCAATAAAAAGTCAGCTTTGCTTTTAAATGGTGAGAATTGATTATAAACCAATTGCATTGTCTTTTTGGTTAAGGTAGTTGGAAGCTGGTTTTGTTCTGGAAAAAATATATAGGAGCGTAAAATCAGATCTCTGCAACTAAGAAAAGTTGCAAGAGAATACAGCAATGTGCTTTAAAGCTGGATCTGGGAAAATTCCATCAATCTACTTTTCATACCCACTTATTCGAGGTCAATACTATAATAGTATAATAGTATAATAGAATACTAATATCTGACATAAGATGACTGACTTACTGGAGTCACTGACAAGAATAATGGCAGATTCAAGAGTTCATGCAAAAGAGATGTTGTGTTAAACAGATTTTAAGGCATATTCAAGTTCCCATTAATTGTTTCATGATTGCATTCCAGCTATACGGGACCTCAGAAGTTTTATCTTGAAACTGATAAAGTATCAGAATTTGTTTTGTGTAATCATGGATCAAATCATAACTTGTGTAAAAAGTTAGGTTAAAATAGGCACAACTCGCCGAATATGTTTAATTAATTTCAACAAAACTCCCTTTTGGTGATAAAATGACAGTCTCTTTGACAGTGTTTGCCATATTTCTCACCATAGATGATAGAATATGATGACGAGATTAATAGATCTAGCAGCTGTGCTCTATACAGAACTATAAATAAGACATATTTATAGTTCTGTGTAGTTTAAACAGTATTAGATATAAATTGAAGTACTTCTCTCAACCCAGAGAAGTTTTTAGTGTCTCAACATCCGCTAGCATACTGTTCTCTTTCCAAATATTACTGGAAGATTAAGCAAGGTGTAGCTCACTTTTAGATTCAAACATTATAATATGATCCACGAAGGGATGTGAAGCAACAGACACTTTGTTTAAGATAAGAAAATGGACAATATTCTTGGATCTAAATGTATTATGGTAGCCGTGTTATGAAATTCAGCGAACACGGGCCATGAAACCAAATGTTTGCATACGAAATTATCTTATAGTATTTCATTAAAACAATACAGGATTTGCGAGTGTAAAAAAACTGAGGAGAGAGTGTGTAACTGTTCTGTTGTGTTTCTCTGTGGAGGTGTTCAGGGTCTGAAACTGATCTCTCATAACACGACTGCTTATGCTAGTCAGGAATACTGGGTCTGAAGCTCAAGGGAAACTAGGGACAATTTATTCTCTCAACCTGAGATCCTTCAATTATTTTTTACTTTTAAGCCAATTCTATTTCACACCAAATGGTAGCCAACATGAAAATCCATTATTCACTATTTTTCTATTTTGTTTGGAATTGTAACGTTTGTATTGTATAAGCGAGACCTGGGAGAATCACTCTGAGGAGACACCGGGCAGGTTTTGATGAACTGTAGGGAGCTCCATATTCAAATGAGCCATTTATACAACTTATCAAGAAAAGAAAGAAAAAATAAGCTGAAAAGTAAACACAGACTGTCTGCTGTTGATAGACAGTTTGAGAAAGTCTTATCAGTGTTTTTGGAGCTTGCAACCTCGGTTTTACATCAGAGTTAAGTGGTTTTAGCAACCTGTCGGATTGTTTAACTTCTAGATGGGATGTGGTAATGTTTCAAGATTTTAGCTCTGGGTCTTTGCCTATGTAGCAGCGTTCACTAAGAGATAAAATGTTGAGTTCCAATCAAGTTCAAATCAATCCTTGTCAGTCCTTGAATCCTTATCTCTGGTTGTTATCCATTTACCGTTTAATAGGAATTCAATAAACAGAGGTGTGTTTCATAATCACCCTTCATTACAATTAGATCATCAATAAAAACCTCAAGACATCAATTTTCATGAATAATATTTTAATGTATTGCATTAGTGTACATTATGAAAACAGCACTCAAAATAAAAAATAGCTAATCAAACCAATAGAACTATAGGTAGGCACTGCAAGGACATGATGGTAATCATGTTTACAATTAGATTTCCTTAGCCTCCAATTGCATTTAAACAGTTGACTTCTATTGTGACCTAAATAATAGAAGTTAGTAATACAATAATGACTTAAGCTGTTGGAGACAGACCATTTACGGCTTTAAAAAGTGGAGAAAAACCCTAACAACCAACCTTTAGAAACAGTTAGAAGGCAACCAGTTAGGCCAATACTGGTATGATATGATTATCCTTTTTTTCTCATGTTAAAAGTCAAGTAACTGTAGTTGTTAGAAAAAGAAATAGGGGACCCAGCTTATTATCCACATAAACATAAAGGCATGGCTGACTTACAGAATCCGTATAATGCAGGTGAAAGATTGCAATTGGCTAAAATTCATCTTTGAAAAATATCGTTTTGACAACTGCACTCATTAGCTTAACAAATTTACAAGAGCTGCCAAAACTAACACCAGAGTTTTTTCTGTTTTATTTTGAGATAATTGATTATATTAAACTAAAAGTTACAACTGTAAAAGAATACAAAGTAGTGAATGGAGGGCTTCTTGTTCCTACCTTTAATGATAATTATTCTCACTTTCAGTGCTTGTGTAATCTTCTTTATGTTTCTGTGAAGTTAATAATATGAGCAAGGAGACAGTATCAGGAACAAAATCAGCCATCACTGTTGTAAGGGAGGATTTATTTTTAAAATCAGCCGATCGACATTTTATAGTGAAAGAACTGATGTCAAACCGTCTTTGGGGATACAGTCACATGATTCAGCTTGTGGCGGGAATGTCAAGCTATTTAGTGTTGTGAGAAACAAATGCAATGAGAAACAAGTGCAAATTAAATGGAAGCTAGGTGAGGGTTTGCTGAAAACTCAGGAAACAGCTTTATCTTAAGTGTGGGGATGTGTCTGAGGCCAGAGTGTACCCATTTTCTCTGAATTAGGAAAAAGGTACTGATCTATACTATTACTATTTATTGGAGAAGAAGATGAGCTTTTCTAACTATTCTTTATTACTGGAGTGTTTGGGGAATAAAGATATTTAGAGACTTTTTTTTATTAAAGGTCTTCAATTTGCTACTGTGGGAGAAACTATATATCCTGCATGTAATATTCATGAAGAATTTGGGGAAGTCGCCTCCATCACATTAGCAGGAGTTGTTATGATTAACTAAAAGATTCCTGGTTGTAAAGCACATCTACACGTAAGACTGTAGATGGTGGGGCTATCTTTGCTGACACCGTGTCAGATTAAGGTCTGAGACAACCTGTGTTCTAAAGTTGATCCAAATTACAAATCCAGAAATTACAATTTAGAACAATATGCCAAATAATTTAATAAAAATACATTGTGTCACAAGTCAACCAGTCCGGGTAGTGCTACCACTGGTTTGTATCTTATTCATACTAGCCAGAGTGTGGTTGAAAATCAGAAATTGTGGAAGCATTAAGTCCAATTTATTGACCGCAAACCAGAATTGTTTTGTGGAGAGCTGAGCAAATCAATTGTTTGTTGTGATTAAATTTGCCTCAACATTTATTTCCCCCACGACACTATTGGGAATAAGCGATGAAAATGATGGTTGTTTCTTTCTTCTTGATTTGTGCAATTTCTGAGGTTCCTTAGCTCATTTTTGATTGCATCTTATGACAGGACACATGATGAAAATCTCATTGTGATCAATATGATGCAGATGTGAATAGATAAATGAGTGTCAGAAAAGCCCTAAACTCGTTTGAATCTGTATTAGACAGGGCCAGAACTATTTATATACTGATCAATGGTTTATGCTTTTTATACTTAAGCCTTCCACAAGTCTTTCTCTCAGTCAATTCTAAGAGAAACACATTCATCTCTGAAAAGCTCATAACTCTCTTACTCTATTGACACAACGATAGGAAAAATGCTTTACCCTGCTTTTGAAATGTGAGATTTAGTTGCTTTCAACAGTGTGCATTAATTGACACATGGGGATTTAAAAAGTTAGTAATTTATGCTTTTATCTGTCATGTAAATGGCAGCGTTCAAGCAAATCTGCGTTTGAAATGTTCTGTTTACGGCTTTAAACTACCTTATAATGCTGGGTGTGAATCAGGTTTCCTCCTGGGGATCAGAAAGATACCTTTAATTCTTTACCTCAATCTGAACTCCTTTTCTCTGTCATACACACATTCACAAAAATAAGATAATAAAATCTAAGATGGATTCAGTGACTTATGAAGGGACACTGTCACATGACATATGACCTGGTGTTTAAACCGACTGTACCTAAGCCACACAGAAAACGAATAATCCATGTGGTATTTTGGTTTAAACTTTTAAGGCACAAACTGGGAGCATGTTCAATTTGTCTTAACTTGTGAGCTAACTCGTTTGAAATGTCTTTACCCAAACAAATCCCACGCGTACATAAAAAGAGTGCTGCTGAGTGTGAAGTTCTTATTACTATTTATGGTGGAATTATCAGGTCTGGGTCTGCCCTGATGATGGAGAGAAAGACAAAAGCATTGTATTTCAACATTTTTCCAAATTCATAGAGCTGACGATTGTTCATTTTGGCTTTATTGCCGTACAGCTGTATCTGATTTGTTCTGGTCAAATATTTTCTTTTTTTTATTCGTTAATGGTACACTTTTTGTAAAAACCAGTCCGTCTGAGAAGTGTGTGCACTGCTAACAGGGATTCCAATCAAACAACACACAACTGTGAATTTATTTTTAGCTTTTTATTCGAAAGTGGGTTTTTTTTACGTCATTTATCTGAATTTTGACAAATATTGAATACACACCGGACAGTTGAATGGGTTAAATTTAACAATACCACTGGCAAAACCAGCAGAATCTGGATATCTGGACACCACTTCTAGCCTCCCCAAATATACAAACTCATACCACTTTGCTGTTACAGCATCTGAAAAGATGTGGCTATAAATCTGGTAATTCTCTCACTGGTCACCTTCCAGGCACACCGTTCCATACGGCATGTCCAGCTACCAGAGTCCGGTGCGTCTGAAGCGCTCGGCTGAGACTGACCAAGGCCAGAGAGGAGAAAGCGCCCAGAGATGTGCATGCGCACTACGGACCGACTTTGGGTGCAACGGTTTCTGCATGGGCAGGTAAATCTCAGAAAGATAAAACTCATGTAGCAGACAGTATTTGCTACATTTTGCATTTGCCCATCAGTGACCACACCTTTAATGGTAAAAAACTTTTTTCATGTTTCAAATAGAAAAGACACATCTTATTAAAAAAGGCATAACTTTATGGGCTCATGAGTTTCCTGCATATCTCCTTTGTTGAATTTGTAGTTGATACTTTTTTTTTTTTTTACAAATGTAACTTAGAGCTTCAACATTATTACAGGGTTAATGATTTTGGTCATATTGGTGGTTTTTACCTTGGGCAAACATGTAATTAAGAATTTATGTGAAATAAACATGGCAGCAGCAATTTATGTAAAACTTTATATCATTAGAAATGTTTATACAATTTGGGAAATTTAAAATTATTTAGAAAAATTCTTATCAGCATTTAATCCAGTCCCAACGGATAAAAAATTAACTCTGAGTGTTTTCACTTTCCCCAGCAGACAGCAGAAACCATGGGCAGGAACATCTAAAACCGTGGAGAGGAGACCACATTTACCAAGAGGGAGGGTCTTAAAATGAGGGGTACCAGTTATCCTGACCGGAAAAGGTTCCACGTATATGTCTCCATTTCTGCAGATAGAAAGGTGTTTGTACTGCCTTTAATGGAACGAGAAGCCACAAAGCTACTTTCACAAAAACT